AAATGTTGGTTGTATTGATGCCATGAATATGTTAATTGTTAATAAGCCGGACCAGCCGACCACTGTTGCTCGTCATCAAGCCCTCGCTCTAGGGCACCTCATGTGAATAATGACATTACGGGGAAGGTGTATTCAGGATTCAGGGCTTCACTGGTAATTACAAGGAATAATGTCGTAAATTAACAAGACTAAGGTCAAGGTCACACAAGATTAACCTAAATCTTGTTAACCTTCTACTCTGTGTACACTGATGCGAAAGGACAGGTTCACTCACAGGGACTATTTTCTTGAACTTTGTAATGAAGGTGTTCTTATACTCATCTGGTATGAATCTGGAAAAGGGAAGCGAACTTTTTATGTCTTGTATACAAGATAAATGTATTTACTGAACGGTATTTCCTTTACAATCAAAATACTCACAAGTTTAAAGCTTTGATGTCTTCAGTTTTTTTGCAAATGTGGTCACCAAGGAAATATACTAAGCAGCAAAAGAAACGTCAGTTTGGAATTTTCCTTTGCAGAAACGGATAACTGTAAACTCATTTAATGTTTTGATTGTATATTTTTGACAACATCTCCAACTTTACCTGAGCAAAGACATTCCTTCCCAAACTCAGAATGGAACCCATGCAACTCATGCTGCTCGTGCTGTTCACAAGGACCAGCCCTATGAAATGCACACCCAGACCTGGTTGAAACATTCACATTACAATGTTAGCAGGATGCCCCTTCTCACGACAGCTCAGAGGAACCAGGCGCTAAGAAGACTTAAAGCTGGCCACACTGCACAAGCCGCTGCCAATCACTTCCAGGTCAACGTTCGGACCATCTACAGGCTGCAGCAGCGTTTCTGGGCCACCAACACCACAAATGATCGCCCCTGTACTGGCAGACCAAGGGTGACCACAAGACGACAAGACCGCCATGTTGTGCGACAGCATTTACAGAATCCCTTCATGCAGGCGTCCGAAACAGCACGCCAGACAGGGGGAACACACGGAAGACCAATCAGTACTGATACAGTATGCCGACGTCTTAACAGCGGGAACCTCCATTGCCGTAGACGTTACTGTGGACCTATCCTCACCCCTCGTCATGGGCGTGAACATCTACAGTTTGCCCTACAACACCAAAATGGCGATGCAGGTAATGGAGAACTGTTCTCTTCACAGATGAGAGTCGGTACTGCGTATCAACTGAAGATGGCAGAACAAGAGTATGGCGACGACGTGGCCAGCGTTACTCTGAACATTGTGTTATGGAAAGAGACTCATGGGGAGGTGCAAGCATCATGGTATGGGGTGGAATAGGCCTGAACCAGAGAGTGGGTCCTGTGGTGTTCCAGAACCTTGGTCCAGGGAGAGGAGGCGGCATCACAGCGGTGCGCTACATCGACCAAGCTCTCAGACCCAACGTCATACCACATTTCGCACGTCACCGGAACAACATTTTCCAGCATGATAACGCCCGGGCCCATGCTGCCAGAGCTACATGGGACTTCCTACAGCAGAACAGTGTCAACATTATGCAGTGGCCAGCCCTTAGTCCTGATTTAAACCCAATTGAACATCTTTGGTATGAAATTCAGAGGAGACTGAATAATGCCATACCAAGGCCGAACACAGCCGATTTATTGCGCCAGGCCCTCCTCAGAGTGTGGTTCAAGGTGTCAGTGGCCTTCATCAAACGATTGGTGCACTCCATGCGTAGACGCTGTGCTGCAGTTATTGCCGTTCGTGGTGGTCACACTAGATACTGAAGTCAAGAGTCTGAATGGACTGCAAACGTTCACGTAATGTCTTGAAATTGTGCTGTGTTATTCATTGATGTGTCAAGATATTGTACATAAAAAATGGTTTTGATCCGCTTATTATGTCAATTTCTGTAATGATTTGATTACAGTGCCTATCTAATTTTGAATTCGCACTGACGTTTTTTTTGCTGCTGAGTATACTATGAATAAGGGAGGGTGGGGTAGCCGTCAAAGCGTTTGATTCCCCTCATGAGTACGTTGTGTGAAGCCCATTTCTGGTGTTCCTCTCCGTGATATTGCTGGAATATTGCTAAAATCGGCGTAAAACCAAACTCACTCACCCACAATAAAAACAATCTCCATAAAGCTCTCTACATGTCAGTATATTTCTACTTTCTCAGTGAATTCTTGAAAGAAGGTCCAAATACATTAAGACGGTGTGTGTGTGTGTGTGTGTGTGTGTGTGTGTGTGTGTGTGTGTGTGTGTGTGTGTGTGTGTGTGTGTGTGTGTGTGTGTGTGTGTGTGTGTGTGTGTGTGTGTACATGCGTGTGCGCGCCAATATTCGGCACAATATTCAACTGGTCGATTCACTAACAGTTTTCATACGTGCTTTCTAAAGTTGCTTTATTGAATCAAATCACGATTTAAACGTCGATTACTTAAAGAATACATTGTATGATTAAGCTGTTTTTATCCTCGTCTGTCTCCGCACCTGAAAAAGCTTAAAGAAAGAATACAACCTGCCTATTATTCCCATGAAGTGTATTTTTTCCGAATGTATGATATTTATATTACGGAAACACATGACTCTAATAATCAATGGTTATTCGCTACTCCAAGGTGTTAAGATAGAATTATACTGTAAAGTAGCCAATCACAACGGCTTGTCTAATGTCACCCGTCTGGCTATTCATTACTCTGAATAAGCAATATTCATGATGGATTGGTTGATGCAGGTATTGATTTTATCGATTTATGTTTGTTGGAAAATAATTATAAATGGCTTTCTTTGATTAGGACGTAATTGCTGACACAGTAGTACCATAAGAGTGTTTTGTATTCATGTGGAAAGGGGGAATGTCTATAGGAATAGCAGCCTGTATTATACTGTGTGTTTTGCTTCCATTATATTTTAGTAAATCCTCCGGACAAATTCACTATAATCTTCGTTTCGAGCTTGGGGGCGGTGGGTAGCCTAGTGGTTGAAGAGTTCGCTCGTCACGCTCCAGACCCGGGTTCGATTCTCCACATCAGTGAAGTCCATTTTTGGTGTCCAAACCATGATTTTGCTGGAATATTGCTAAAAGCGACATAACACAATACTCACTCACCTCGAGCCAGAATCGAATGCCACAACACTATTATTAGCCATCCAGTCAAAAATACTCTCATGAGCGAGAGAGATTCTGTGGTGAGTCAAAGATTGGAGAGATGGTGACGTCACGAGAGGAGACGTCACGCTGTGGTGGGTAAAGGTATTGGGGTATTTATTCTCATGGAATGGAAGTACAATACACTCGACTGAACCCGTAAAGATCCGGGCTGAATTGATCTTCAGCAACTCATGCTTGTTGTAAGAGGTGTTTTACGGGATCGGGTGGTCAGGCTTGCTGACATGATTGACACATGTCATCGTATCCCAGTTGCGGAGGTCAATGCTCATGCTGTTGATCACTGGATTGTCTGGTCCAGACTCGATTATTTGCCGACCCATAGCTGGAATATTGCTGCGTGCGGCTTTAAACAACAAACAAATGACAAAAAAATATTTATAACAAAAAACAGAAAAAAACCCAGATTGCTGCAAGGTGAAAAACTATCTTGCCTTTCGTGCACAAATGAATATTTTGTCCTTAAATATAAATGTATCTCCAAGTGCTACGTTGAAACAAACGCATTCATAGTGAGTGAGTTTATTTTTAGGCCGCTTTTGACAATATTTCAGCAATATCACGGCGGAGGACACCAGAAATGGGCTTCACATATTGTACCTATGTGGGGAATCAAACCCGGGTCTTCAGCGTGACGAGAGAACGCTTTAACCACTACGCTACCCACCGTCCCTGAATCGCATTCAAAATTCCGGTTACTGTTGAGTCGCTGTTTTTTTCAGAATTAGAAAAAGCACAACACCATACTACATCTTTTAATACAAAAGCTAATAGCAACACAGGTTCCAACAGGTTCCAACAGTTTCCCACTGTCCACGAGCGGTAGTCCAAATTGACTACTGTGGTAATTAAGAATTGTCTGGTGACAGTTATTGCTTCGGCTGTCGGGGCAAGGATCTACAGCATTTCAAAGATGGCATTTTTCTTTCTTGTGACAGACTACTTAAAACGTACGCCACTCTGTGCCGCTATAATCGTGTCACTGACCTTTGCCAGGCTCTTAATTATGTTCTTCTGATCATGGTTGACACTGATGAAGCTAAATTCGTGCATGCGGTTACATCCATTATTTTCACCTTATTTCATATAAATCAGTGGGTTTTTTGTATTTGTTGCTTTAAATATTAAAAAATGATATCCTACTGGTCTTTTCACTGGAACTCATATACATGTATATTTGCAAGGATATCCCATTGTTGCTTCAGAAAGCCTTTTGGTTCTACATATAATGGCTAAAGTGTCCGATCGTCACACTGAAGACCCGGGTTCGATTCCCCACATGGGTACAATGTGAAGCAAATCTCTTGTGTCCCCCTCCGTGAAATTGCTGGAATATTGTTAAAAGCGACATAAAACCATACTAACTCACTATTTTTATAATTTTCTAATTTTGGCAGCAGCAACCCCAGATCACTAGTTTCCCCAAAGTGGTATGGTCCAAGACCTACATCACTCGTGCTTTCTCAACACGTGACGCTAAAAGTCGTGAAACGGAAATACTGTTCCCGTCGGCGTTTAACCAAACCCATTTACAATACTTTACGTAATGCAGATATACTCATTACTCATGTTTCTGTATCAGACATCGCTACGTTACGAACAGAAAGGTGACAAATCGCGTCCTTACATAACAAACCAAACGGGCGTGTTTCTTTCAGACCTTACAAAGTCCTCGGTGCTTGGAAGGCAGCGTCTGGCGATTCACAGTTGTGGCGAGAAACTTGGCTGTGTTCGATTCCACTGAACCAAACTGAATATTAAATTTACTCGACCTTTTCTGGCCTTTAAGGTAATAGAGACATCTGAACTATTTGTTGCAGGTAGCTTGGTTGAATCGGAACAGATTTCGTTGAAGAAACAAAGAAATGGCGGTAGATTACTCTAGGATTGAACGCATGCCGCGACCTTGACCTTCTGATGAACACAGGTAGGTAAATTTGTTCTTTGCAAATTACATATGTTCGCCTACTCTTAATCTACTTACTCGCAGCGTTGGCCTTTGTTACTCATAAATGATGCATACGTTTTCTTCTCGCTAATCGTATGGTTTGCGATCGAGATACTATAAAAGGTACAATTTAAAAAGGTTTTTGTTTCATAACATATTTTCTAGTAATGCTGCTTTTTCTTTCGCGTTCTTACTAAGACATTCCCTTTCATAACAAAGGGGCGATGGGGTAGCCTAGTAGTTAAAGCGTTCGCTCGCCACGCCGAAACCCCGGGTTCGATTTCCACATGGGTACAATGTGTGAAGCCAATTTCTTGTGTCCCCTGCCGCGATATTGCTGGAGTATTGCTAAAGGTGGCGTAAAACACATTCATTCACTCCAGATAGACGACGTTTAAGTCAGAGCTGCCTGATTTCTAATTTTCTGAAATGGAACTCACTCACTCGCTCACTCATCCACTCACTTCATAACAAAAAATTGACAACGCCGATGAGAAAGGAAAGAGTCTGACAGATCTGGGTCTGTCTATTTCTGATTTGTTTAATTAGATTTCCTAATGTATGATGTCGCGTCTGAATGTAAAACGGTAAATCACTGAAACAATGACGTGTGTCAGTTAATGATGTTGAACATCACCGTCAGCATTATTCCAGGTATAGGGCGATTATGTAATAATCCATATAATCGGGCCACGATAACAGACGGTGCCAACCCTGTCAGTGCGACCAATATCGAGCATGGGTTAAATATTTTACCGGATGTCGAGGTACAGTGTTATCTGGTAGGAGGATGCCAGTTTTTTAATATTGATTTTTTTTTTTACTTTTCGTATTTGCAAAGAGCTTAGGCCGGCATGTAGCTGGACTATTGTTAAAACAGCCCTGAAAAAAGTAAAGTAACAAATATTGAGGATAAAATCAATCACGGGTTTGTTTGACCCTGACTCCATTATTTACAAAGGTCGTGATTGTACCCATCATGGAATCGAACACAGGTCTTCAGCGTGACGATCGAACCCCTTGCTGAGAGAGGAGCTAAGCATAAAACAACAAAACCCAGAAGACCCAAGATCCCTCAAACCTCTCGGAGTGAGTGAGTGAGAGAGTGAGTGAATGAGTGAGTGAGAGAGAGTGAGTGAATGAGTGAGTGAGAGAGTGAGTGAGTGAGTGAGTGAGTGAGTGAGTGAATGAGTTTGTCAGCAATTACCAATAGTCTAACAAGATTACATCAGGGGACACCGAAAATCAACTTCACGTGTGATACCCTCGAGGGGATCGAACCCGGGTCTTCGCTGTGACGAGCGAACGCTTTGACCGCAAGGCTACCTCTCTTCACCCTAATACCTTTGGAGCAGACTCTTGAAGTTACAAAGTCTCCCTGGTGAGACTGACGTCCTCTTCAGTAATGTTATTTCGTAATGTATTGAGAACAGCTGGGTGTTCCCTAGGATCGATACGTGGCGAATTGCCTTCCTGGGATTCACTTATTGCCTAAAGACATTCATAAAGCTCCCGCGGTTTACACGCTAGATGAACAGCCTGTAATGCCTTACACCGAACCGTCTCAATACGTCATTAATCACATAGGACAATCAGTAACAATTGCTTTGTAGTACCGGTCCGAAGTGCGTCGAGGCCAAATTATTTTGGCATTTTCTCAGAGCGAATTCCCCTGAGAACTGGTAATGATCCTGCAAAGATCACCGCTGACGTAATGTCAGTATCGAACATAATAACTTCTTAAGTGGACGTGTTTTATGTACAACGTTAGGCTCGTCCAGCTCCTGACTGACGTCTTTCAATGTTTGGTCATTTGTTTGTTGTTTAAAGCGACGATATACCCGTGAAGATCCAGGTTAGAATGGGTCTTCTGCAGCCCATGTCTGTAAGAGGCGACTTGGGTGGTCAGGCTCGCTGACTTGGTTGACACATGTCATCGTATCCCAACTGCGTATGTCGACGCTCATGTTGTTGATCACTGGATTCTCTGGTCCAGACTGGATGATTTATAGACCGAGGCCATAGAGGTGGAATATTGCTGAGTGCGGCGTTAAACAACAAACCAACCAACTTAAGTGGACGAGTTTTATGTACAACGTAAGGCTCGTCCAGCTCCTGGCGGACGTCTTTCAACGTTTGGTAATTTGTTGGCTGGTTAACGCAGCAATATAGCAGTAAAGATCCGGGATAGAATGTGTCTTCAGCAACCCATGCTTGTAAGAGGCGACTAACGAGACTGGGTGGTCAGGCTCGCTGACTTGGTTGACACATGTCATCGTATCCCAGTTGCTTGATGTCAGTGGAAGATATGATCCAGATTACTTACGGACCGACGTCATATAATTGTAATATTGCTGCGCGCGTTGAATAACAAATAAACAAGCTAACTTCCGTGTTTTTAGGCAGAGATTATGCAGATTTGAAAGTTATCTTATCTTGCTGAAATTATTCCGGCATGGCTGACAGGTTTCTGACTACCGAGTGAAGGAAAATGACAAACCGCTACATTTATAACAGCTTCTGTTAAGATCCGTGAACAGAAATAGGTACACGTTGTTCTGCCAAAGGGCCACATAGACAAACTGACCCTTTTACGTAATGAGTGAGTGAGTTAGTGCGTGAGTGAGTGAAGTGAGTGAGTGAGTGAGTAAAAGGTGAACATATGAGTGAATAATGAGCATGACAGTCACAAGGGTATATTAATTTCGAGTGTCATTTTCCCGCTTTTTATAACCTTTTGAATACTCGTAAATATACATATGCATACATCATGTTATGTAAGGCTGTCTTGGATTTACATCATGACCTTTGAATTTTATTGCATCACGGTATATGAAGGTAATTATAAATGCTCCCTGAGAAATCTACAGCAAGTGTTTTTTGTCACGAAACATGACTTGTTACAATGGGCATTTCAAGTTATATAATTTTATAATCAAAATAGAAAAAAAACCTAAGGTGAGCTACAGACTGTCTGGTTCTATTTGTGAACATCTATCACCACACTCATCTACGAGAGATACTAGAGTTTTTTCCGCTCCCGATGTGACAACTTCGACATCATGTGCAGCAAATATTATGCAATATTAAACCCTTTCAAGGATCAAGACCACGAGAGTGACGTCAATATTGTATAACTGTAGCAACGGAAGAGAGTCGTGTTGCAGTTATTGGTTCATTTTCCTTCCTGAAAATACCCAAGTGGTTCTAATCTTCAGAATAAAGCCAAACCGTTTCTCTTAAGTCCTCGAAGTCATGAGAAAGGAGCAGCGCACTCAATCACGGGGAGATTAATCAAGACGAGCAGTGAGCCAGTTCGTAGATCTCACAAAATCCAGGTTCCACTGGCGGCGGGGACAGTCGCCTACAGCAGTAGATCAGGCACCGAGGAGGTGTTGCTGCCGATCTACGTATAAAGCTGGTATAAATAGGCTGTCTGCTATTCAAAGAAATTGATTTTGTCCACTATCAAGTGTCTTTTAAAGCCCGACTTGTCATCTGCAGTCCTGCAGTGTTTCAGATGACTCTGGCGGGAGCAATGACCTGAGCCGCTCATGGAAAACCCTCACTCGTACAACTGGGAGCGGACCGATAGAGATCCGTGCGTGGAGCTGTAAACACTGGGCAGCGGTGGTGAAGCCTGGGATACGATTTCGGAACTGAAATACTGTGTCATCTTCCGATATCAGTGTTTGTGTGAAGAATAACCGTTTGACCTGTTCTTGAACTGGTCGAGTCATCATTGATCCTGTGATGCTCCCGCGAGTGATGTGATTCAGGCGATATTTCGTAACGAGTGTATCGGACTTAAGGTAAGTGTGATGATACCTTTGCTGTGCGTTTCTTACTGTAAAGGTGGGATATGCCACTCAAACATTGCCACTCTTTACACGAGGTCTGGCAGGACGTCGTGTTGTTAGACAGTACGCTCGTCTTCTCACCTGAGAAATCAATGACTCTGGTGGGGTGTACTGTGTACACATGCATGTACTATCAGGGAAATAGCCAGAAGCCATGATGGTATATAGGGCAGTAACGGTAGGACGGGACTTGTGGAGAGCTGGTGGTATAGCAGTGCCTCTGTAGGTATGACAGAGGCACTGCTGGTATTAAGGCGGCACTGGTGGTATGAAAGGGGCACTGGTAGTGTCACCGCGCGCTGATCATACGACAGGGGCAATGACGATATGACAAGGGCGCTGATGGTATGATAGGGACGCTATTGGTATGACAGGGGCACTGGTGGTATTACGCCACACTCGTGGTACGACTGGGTAACTATGGTATGATGGTATGATAGGTATGTACCGCGCGCTGATCATACGACGGGGACAATGACGATATGACAGGGCCGCTGATGGTATGACAGTACCACTATAGGTATGGCAGGGGTACTACTGGTATAACGCCACACTGGTGGTACGACAGGGTGGTGCACTGGTGGTGTTACTGCGGCACTGATCATACAACGTGGGCACTGGCGATATGACAGGGGCGCGGATGGTATGACGTGGGCACTCATGGTATGATAGGGCACTGGTGGTGTTGCCGACACTGGTGGTAAGAGATGGTCACCGTGGTATGATAGGGGAACTGGTAGTGTTACCGCGCCCTGATACAACGGGGGCAATGATGATATGACGGGGCGCTGGTGGTATGACAGTGCCGCTATAGGTATGACATAGGCACTGCTGGTATTACGCGGCACTGGTGGTAAGACAGGGAAACTTTGGTATGATAGGGGCACTGGTATTGTCGCGCTGATCATACGACGGGGGCAATGATGATATGACTGGGGCAATGGCGAGATGACGCTGATGGTATGACAGTACCGCTATAGGTATGACAGGGGTACTACTGGTATTACGTCACACTGGTGGTAAGAGAGTAAACTGTGGTAAGATAGGAGCACTGGTGATTTTACAGTGGCACTGATCATACGACAGGGCACTGAAGACATATGACAGGTGCTCTTGGTGAAACTGTAATCTATAATGAAACCATATCTTTTCAGGAAGTGAATAGGTTGTTACATAGCTTAATCAAAACAAAGTGAAAGGGAACATTACCCTACTTCTCCATATACAGTGGTTAGGGGGCTGACCTGAGGTTGTACATTGAAAATAATCGTACACGCACGGACGCTCGAACGCACGCGCACACACATACGCACATGCTCGAACTTATGAGAAAACAACATGTAGTTTGGGTCAAAAGGGCCTCCTTTAAGAGAAAAAATATGTTTTGGAGCGTTAAAAAAACCCTGGTTTTCGAAAAGCAAATCAAGGGACATTGGTCTTTGACATGACAAACCATCGCCTTAACCACCACCCCACATTCTAGAAATCAACAAGAACTTCCATGGGGCAAAGTTATGCAATCTACACACATTTCTTCTTGTTTCACATCGTGTAAGTTCTGATACACCGCTCGAGGTTTATAAATTCCGGGTTACCCAGGGACGGTGGGGTAACCTAGTGGTTAATGCGTTCGCTCGTCACGCCGAAGACCCGTGTTCGATTCCCCACATGGGTACAATGTGTGAAGCAAATTTCTGGTGTCCCCCGCCGTGATATTGCTGGAATATTGCTAAAAGCGGCGTTAAATCTAAAAACTCACTCTGATATGATTTCTTTATTTTGAAAGAAATGACTATAATCAAACAGTTCTGAATGTAAACAAATAAGGATAAGCTATTGTAATGTGGGGAATATTCTACGTAACCTTTGTTTTTGAGGCACCATGGCATCTCCAGTGAATGGTGCGGGAAATCGAGGAAATATTTGTTGTTTTGGTGTGCTTTTCTTTCTTAAGATGGAAGTGAAGCAGAATCGGTCCACAGAAATGATATCAGATTGGTTCATGAACGTACCGATTCTTCATTTAGATAAGGCGACTTTTGATATGGACAGCTTGTCAGGTCTTCACGTATAGACATTCGTATATCAGTAAACTATGCGATTTTAATGAGGTTGCCGTGCGCTGTGTCGGAATGGATATGACATTCTCATCATTCCGATAGTTGTTCATGCATTGGGCTTTCTAAAAGTCCAGATGTACTGATACTGTGTACATGGAATTCTTCGGGGAGGACGTTTGTGATGGAGATGCTTATTCCGTGTGAGGACGCTATCTTCTGTAGACAGACACCGTGCTCATATATCATGACCTGCAACTCGAGTTCTTTGCAAGTGGGACCTGGAATATGGCGATATGACATTCATCTGATGTGACTTCTTAAAGTGGTGTGACAGTGCTCTGCCTCTTTGAGGCTGCGTCGACCATGACTGGGGCTAGAATATTCTGGCAATCCAGAGGTTATACCATCTTTAATGAAACAATTTTGTTCGTTCAGCATTAGCAAACATAACCTGTACTCAACGATATGAATTGGTCAGCTGAAAGAGATTAAGGAAGTGTTGTATAGATGCGTACTGTCCAAATGATTTAGGATGTATTGTATAGAGGAACCGTCGAGCAGAAATATTGGTAAGTATTGTATACATCGGAACTGCCCAGCAGAAATATTGGTAAGTAATGTATACATGGGAACTGTGCAGCAGGCACTTTCGGGAAGTATTGTACAGAGGTGAATTCGAACTGACTAATGAAGGTGGTTCAGGAAGTATTGTATACATAATGAACTGTCCATCTGAAGGAGATTCAGGAAGTATTGTATATATGAACTTTCCATCTGAAGGAGATTCAGGAAGTATTGTATATATGAACTGTCCATCTGAAGGAGATTCAGGAAGTATTGTATACATAATGAACTGTCCATCTGAAGGAGATTCAGGAAGTATTGTATACATGAACTGTTCGACTGAAAGAGATTCAGGAAGTATTGTATACATGAACTGTCCATCTGAAAGAGATTCAGGGAGTATTGTATATACGAACTGTCCATCTAAAAGAGATTCAGGAAGTATTGTATACATGAACTTTTCGGCTGAAGGAGATTCAGGAAGTATTGTATACATGAACTGTCCATCTGAAAGAGATTCAGGAAGTATTGTATACATGAACTGTCCATCTGAAAGAGATTCAGGGAGTATTGTATACACGAACTGTCCATCTGAAAGAGATTCAGGAAGTATTGTATACACGAACTGTCCATCTGAAAGAGATTCAGGAAGTATTATTCAGGGATTATTGTATACATACATATGAAATAGACTCAGATTCATGGAGGCTCTGCGTATACGTGAACTGTACGAATAAGAAAAAGATTGAGGAAGTATTGCATGAGGTCAACTGCAGAACTGAAAGAAATCCAGGAGCTGTATGGGGTCAAATCGTCAACTGACCTGAGAACATCTGAGAACCATTCCAGCTTGTTCAGCTTGACCTGATCAAGTGAATACTAATGTATTGCGTGACCGTGTCACAACTGGTTGAGTCTATTATTGTGAAGGGGTGCACCTTTGTAAGTTGATTGTCAACATGTCCGAACAGCCGAGACAAGGTCGCCGTTTGACATCTCAGTGTCGACAAATCGTCAGCAATGTCCAAACTTTCTTTAAAAAAGAAGCTACAGATGGTTTAATGTTTCCGAATCGGGCTTTTAGGCAGCGAGCAGCAGCAGCGACATTAGTAACATTTTCTGCTCCCCTACTTAATGAAATTAACTCGACCTGCCGTTTGTGCCATTTGACCTCCCCGGTCATGTAGATGTAGTAGCTCAGGTCAAGCTGAACAAGCTGTATGAAAGGGATTATGGAAATATTGTATAGATTTAAACTTGTCAACTGATTGCAGATCGATGAGAATTTTAAGGAAGTGAACTGATTATCTGAAAGAGATCCTGAAAGAAGTCTAACGACGTTACCTGGCCTGCTCAGGAGGATTCGGCCCGTGAACATCCGGGTTAGAATTGATCTTCAGTAATTGATCGCAATATAGCTCGAATGCTGCTGGGTGCGCCGTAAAACTAAACTCACTCACACACTCGGTGGGATTCCGGAAACATTCCATGAACAAAACGGGTATCATGCCATATAAAACACTAATGGTATTAACATTATATTACCACCGTTAGTGTGTTTTAGCCTGTGTCAGCCTCATCAGATTTCAATCACTTTACATTTGTGCTCAGTCCTGTGTGACGTATTCGAATAATTCATACAAAAAATATTAGTTTGATGACATCAATGTACATGATAAAGAGTGAATGAGTGACTTTAGTTTTACGCCGCACTCAGCAATATTCCAGCTATATGGCGGCGGTCTGTAAATAATCGAGTCTGGACCAGACAATCCAGTGATCAACAGCATGAGCATTGATCTGCACAATTGGGAACCGATGACATGTGTCAAACACGTCAGCGAGCCTGACCACCCGATCCCGTTAGTCGCCTCTTACGACAAGCATGGGTTGCTGAAGGTACATTCTAGCCCGGACCTTCACGGGTCACATGTTAATGAACACCGAAGGAGCGGAAATGGTGGAGAAATAATGTGCATGAAGAGAGTATGAACATATCTGATGTGGATCACCTTTAGCTGACATATAACGGTTAGAGTGAAACATCCACAGTACTAAGCGGCGTAAACATCAACACATTCACAAGCAGTTGTACTTTCGATTTCCTCGTTTTATTTAAAGTGAGCGAGATCACAGCAGGGGACACCACAAATGGGCTTTACACATTGTACCCATGTGAGGAATCGAACCCGGATCTTCGGCGTGAAGAGCCAACTCTTTAACCACTAGGGTACCTCAACGCCCATTTTATTTAAAGATTAAGCCGTGCTCCTAAGCAAATGCTAATATTGCTTGGTATTGTTGATTAGTTGCTATTTAAACCACAACAGAGGGTTCTGTGTACATATTTATAAGCTGTGCTAATATCATTGTGGAAAAGTAGTATTTTTTTAAGATATGAACTTTTTAATTATCTGAAGGGATTTTAGAAAGTGCACATGAATCAGATATTATCTACGCTCACTTAGTAAACCAATACGTTGTAATATCGAATGAATGTATCGATCAAGCTTTCACCATACCACGTCACAGAGTCATGTATCGCAGATCAATCATCAAGACACCTTTTAAAAGCTGTGCGTTGGAATCATAGGCAGCACTGCTGATGTGGTCGTGCGTTTTTCTCAAACATGATTCTTATCGCTAAATACATGGGTAGCTTAACGCTAATGCATTGGAAATATGGTCTGGCATTCCCTATCGATGAGTATCAACAATGCACTCCCAATTATTCGTGAACGAAGCCCACTGATTTCCTCGTAGGCTGGTAATAGTCTGATTGTCCAATGTCGTCTGCTAATTTTCGTGTCGTCTGCTGTCGCCAAGCGCTGCGTTCTTCCGTCCATTCGCCACATCGGGGGATGCACGACATCTTCTCGGTTCCGTCTGCTGTTTAGTAGCATTTGGGGATACAGGAGTGATAAACATTGATTGTGCGTCCAACGGAGCAACCCAATCAGCCCAACCCTCAGAGGTGCAACCAGGAACAGACAAGCCAGACATGCATTGAAAATGACCCTGGGGACTTGTAATCGCTGCCCGGCGGTCTATAGACACGACTAAATGACAGTTGGAAATGCGAATAAGGAAACATGCTGTCGCAAATGGAGCTGATGTCGTTCATACGGTGTTAAACAATACTAAAAATATCCATCATTACACAGCTGGCGTGTGACCAACTGCCGTACAAGAAGGTACTAAGGGAGAACTATTTCCATGGAAGTAACTGAACGCTTGGAGAAATAATACTGTGAAGGAAAACATCTCACTGAAATTTGGCGATGAATATTCACAAGTGATGGTTGACAAATGCCGATAGGTGTGGAAACCATGCCAGGTGATATCGCGTTATGCTCACCTGAAGGCGCTTAGTGACAAAAGCGGTGTTGCCTAGAAGAGTCAATGTGACTCACACCTCTGAGCTGTCCGCAGCTGCCTGTGACAGACACATGAATGAATAGATTGTGTTAATATACGAATAAGAGGTGTCTGGTTCTGTTTTGAATGGCAGGTGGAAATACGTTTTTATATCGTTGGATATTTGGCCGGTTGATTAATATCGTGTCGATATGTAATGAAATTTGAAAACGGTTTCAGACGGAACTGAATTTCATCTTCTCGAACTGAAATATTTACGCACGAAGACATCAGGTGGTGTTGGTAATTGTACGGAAATAACATGGTCAGATTCTAATTTCGATACCGTAGCTATTTGATTCGCGTCTATAGTAGTATAAGCAGGGGTAATCTACAGTGTTCTATTCTCCCTGGTATAAGGGAGTCATTTAGTTGTATACCACTAGACGTCGGATAACAAAAGCGGGTCAATACAGAGCTGTTATTTCGCAACAAAGTTAAATTCATCATTTCATGTTTGTTTGTGAATGTTTATTCTATATCTATGAATCGTCTACTTGTTTTAACGTTTTAGACCACTAATTGCGTTGACATTTCCATGTTTGACAGGCTGCACGGGTGTTCAGAGCTGAAACACATTTGACGCGCCCTGTCAGCATCAACCGATTAATGACGTCACGGCAATTCAGAGAGAAACCCCAAACATGTCTACTCGGAGGCAAAAACACTCGAGGCAGCTTGCTGAGGACACTGCTGAGAACAGTTTATGTGTAAATGCTCAAACTTAAACACACAACTATCAACAGGTTTGACAGATACTATGTGGACCAATCGGGACCAGTGGCGTGTTTCTGAGTGCCTGTCAAGCTTCTGACAGTGGAAACTTGGATGCTCCAAAATGTAAACTAGTACCTCATGGGCCATTGTGTGATTGGGAGTGGTCACCCTCTGTGTGCTGTTAGGTAATTACAAGGATTACTACTTCCATGTTGAAAAGATCCACCCTGTGTACGTGTGGGTGTGTTGCAAGGTCCTAAGACTCAAGTTTGGGACATTTAATGAGCAATGTAAGCATATAATCTGAGAATGTCAAAGGGAAGTTGTTGACAGATAATTGGTGATTGCTGACATTCTGTGGGAGGCCAAGCCATGTTAATTAGAGCTCAGGCAGCTGGCACTGCAGGGATTACAGGCAGATGTGTGATGTGTAAGAGCTGAGTCCAAGTCTTGGACCTGAGAATAGGTGTGTGTTCTAGCTGAACTTATGAGTTAAGTTCTGCAGCTGAATCTAGAAGTTGTGTATCTGAATTGTGTTTAGGAGAGAAGCACTCGAGCTGAGTGTAGAAGCTGTATGTTCTGAGTTTGTTAGGCAAGCTGTGAAAGCTTCCAGTTGGCTTTGATCTGAGTATGAAAGCCTGGTTTTAGAGCTCAGAGTACATACTGTGTGTGTGATTGGAGTTCAGGAGACAAATTTTGGAGCTGAGTTCAGGAGCTGAGTCAAGGAGATTAGTCAAGGAGGCAACTTCAGGAGCTGAATCAAAGAAAAGTATTTCAGAATTGAATCAAGGAGCTGCATTCAGGAGGCAGATCAGGAACTGAGTCAGAAACAGTGTTTGCTGAGGCATTGACTGGATAATAAGCAAGCCTCAGTCTAGAAAATCATGATCCATCATACATACAGCATCAACAGTGACAACCTCACAACGTCTTCAGCGTAACATCATGGTGGCGGAATGGATAGCCTGTCTGGACAAGAGGTGAGTCTGATTAGTGAACTGTATACTGCAATCTGATTGGTTGAAATACTTTAGAGGATGTCATGAAGCAGTTTCTGAAGGCTAGCAGACTTAAAAGCAACATGTGACTACAATATATCACTGAATTCCCTTGACATCCAGTTGTGAAGGAACAATTGAGGATAGAAATAACCTGTTACTTTCGACATAATAACAACTAGTCACTGGCTACCATTAAATTGGATCAGAACCAGGAAATCGCTTGCAAATGTTACTACTTTAGAATATTTTTCTTGATAAGAATATTTTTGTTTTTTGTTACAACTTTCGATCATTAACTCTTGGAACGAATGTATTTGCATATGTAAGATATCAAATATAATTAATAAAAAGATTGGTATGCGGTATATGCCAAAAATATACTTTGATACACTGTGTACCGAACAGAAAGCAAAATACAGTGGTTCAACTAATGTAGTTGTGAACCGTTTCATCCCTAACAATTGCTTAGGAAATTACTGATAACTTTGTATTTTACAACTTCTATATACACCTGTTGTGCAGATGTTTTGGGTATTTAATGCACTGAAATTGTGACATTCAAAAATGAATGTTTGAATGGCAGGTACTGACAAATCAAGAGAGAGATTGCAGGCACTGTCAACATGTGCCATGCTTAGTCTGAGAATATATATAATCATGATAGAAAGAAATAGTTCCTTTCAAACTGAAAGGAGCCCCAGTGAGATTGGAGAACTTGAGGAAATCTAGACTTGCTTAATTTAGAGCTTTAGCCTTGCATAATGGGTGGGGTAGAAGAGAAACTCATGTGGTATAGAGACTGTGAGACAGACTACATGTGTCATACACTCCAATCCCAGGATCTGGATTATGTGTGTCATATTTCGGCAGGTTGAGATAGACCTCACCATTGCTGTCCTTTCTCAGAGGTCAACCTAATGGTGCTAATAGCTCCTTGTGACCTGAATGAAATAGCTAAGCTGTTGATTCTGCCCTTTACCCTTCTAGTACTGCCCTCGGCTATGACCCATATATAATGTCTCAGAGAATCGTGTACTTTATATCGTACATATACATTAGTAACTGAAACAGTCCTTTGATTGTAAATGGCTTCATTTATTCAGACCAATGAATCAGTCCAGTAAGTGATGTCAAGCAACACTATTATTATTTTGATCACTATGGGTTTTGCATTACTTTTTAATTGGAAGGTTGTCATGTTATTAATATTAGTTTGTATTTCAACCACTCCAACTAAATATATTTCATAATTGACTTCAAAACTTTCCAGACTGTTGATCGGCCAATGCATGGACACCATTGTTGTCTAGTCTGGAGAGGTTATGTCAAAACGTGAAACTTATGATGGAAAATAGCTAGCGCAGAAGTTGAAATGAATTTAGCGTCCCCTTAAATGTTCATTACAGTCAAGATAACAGGAAACTTTTAGATAAAGATAACAAGATAACAAGTCTCTTTTCTGAGACCAGAGACCATATAATAGATCTATTATATGGTCTCTGCTGAGACTCACCCTCTGTTTGATTCAAAGTGTTGTCAATCAATTGTGGAGAACAATGCTATTTGATAGCCAATGTTTTTCCAAATATTCAATCATTCCTCGGATCTGTAAAGAGTTAATGAACCATAAACACATTCATGTTCAATAATGTATCCCACAAAAACAAGTATTTTCGTTCATAGGGTAAATTATTCTGTTGAAAATCATTATCAAAAACATGTCCCTTGACATATGTTTTTTGTGGAAAATACAGAAAGAAACAATGTATGATTATAAATGGATGAGGACAGGTCAACTTATATTGACAAATGATCAATAATTAATTCAACATTGATTAAGAAATAACTGATACAAAAACACAAATTTTAGGGTCAGATAGAGCCATCAGTCCACTTGTCCGAACTTGGGAAATTTTAAGACATAACTCTGATATATAAACAGAATGATATAAAATTTGTTCTGCAATATATTGGACCTTCCTTTCACCTGAGCAAAACCTGGGTGCTTTAATGCAAATATCCTGTCTGTCACAACCCCTGCCACTCCCCACCCCCATGAAGACCCCTTCTGGTTATTCCTCCCATAAGTGCAGGTCCCTAATGAATAATTATATTAATTGTCCAGATTAATCAACTTCAAATTGACTTCAGTGCAGGCTGAATTGTTCTTTTAAGTCAGTACACAATTATAACGCTAATTAATTAACTATACTTTAAACAATTATAAGTTGTCAAACACTAATTGGTATTGATTGAGTCATGTGATGAATAATATCAGCTTGGTGCTTACTCTAAATTCAAATATGTTAACATTTAGTGAGTTAACGTTCTGTGACCTGATGATTTAATACTGCTCATGATTGTATGTGATGTTTAACTGGAGCTTCAGGTCGATTCTAGCACTTCTATGTCAGTATGCAAACATCAAGTGAATTTCACCTGCTAATATTGATTGAGATAAATCATTATACAAAAGGCAGCCAAATGAATGGATTTCTTTTGAAAACATGCAAATATTATTTTTATGAATGTATATAGATATTTTTTTCAAATAGTACATTGGATAATATTAGGCCATTGTAAATTTAGTATAAGACTTTCATCCCTGCCTGTCTGACAACCAAACAATCTAAGGGTCTTTATGGATGTCAACTCTTGTATGAGGAACATGACTTCCCAGAATATATTCTTACTCCTTCATCAGATGAATGAAAAACTAGGAAGCAAATAGCTGTATAAATACACATGAAACACAATTGTGCAGATCGATGCTCATGCTGTTGATCACTGGATTGTCTGGTCCAGACTCGATTATTTACAGACCGCCGCCATATAGCTGGAATATTGCTGAGTGTGGCGTAAAACTAAACTCACTCACTCACTCACTCACTCACTCACTCACTCACTCACTCACTCACTCACTCACTCACTCACTCACTCATGAAACAACAGCGCAGATGAGATGGCAATGGTGGCCACTTAAGACTTATGTAGTTTTCTGCTTCCTAGCTTTTCATAAATAAGTAAAGGATCCATAAACTCTTACCTTTTATGTGTATCACTTCTAAATGCCGCTCAAAGACATAATTAATCTCCATGTGTGTTCAGTTTATCATGACCTGATCATGTCCTCTGTATGCATTAGGGATGTCATGAGACCATTATCTCCCTTGTACAATTTACATATTGCAATACTTAATTTGGGGCAATTTCGATTAATTTTGCAGATTTCATTGGGTAACATTATCAAACATTAACTGCCTGCGTATCTGCTGTCATATTATCAACATGTTTTATTTCAATCAATAATATTAACTTGAATATATCACCAGTTAGAAACAGACTTGAAAAGAATATGTCTTGAAATTATGTTCCTTGTACGATATACATATATTAATAACAATAACATTGTTATCAAAATGTCAACAAAGTTATTCCATTTCTGTTTAAATTTTCCATGCCTGAAACATGTGAGATGGGGTTTAATGTCGTACTTAAGAATATTTCGCTCATAGTGCATGCATGTGTATATTTGGCTGCTTGTACTAGCCCAGACTTAAGCCGGTTTTATAGTGCCAGCTCACTGAGAAACCATGCCGCAGTGAAGCATGAATACCCATCTCAGACACATAATACTGACTCCGGGCCGACCAGTCCTTGTTGTACCCATTAATGCAGGGACCAACAAGTACCATATTTTAACTTCTTTTGGTATAATGCAGCTGGGGCTCGAACCCATGACCTTCCTCTCTCTCAGGGTGGATGTTCTAACCAAGGAGGCGGTCTACATCAAAAGAAGCCAGTAGCTAAAACAGGACATGCCTTGTGTAGGAAGTCATTCAAATCATGTTCTTTCATAGTATCCAGTTACCTTTAACAGTTTGTTTAAAATCAATAAAATATAATAATAAAATATGCACTACCTCATTTGTTGAAGGAGAACAGGAATGAAAATCTGATTAATTAATTGTTTTGGCCTTGCTAGTAAATGCTGTGTTGGAGAAAACTATTGACAAGCAAAAATCTGATTTACAGTAATTAGGAGAAGTAGGATGACCTTTAACAGACTGTTTTGATGGATAAATGCTGGTAAGATGACCTATTTCATATTGTGTATGCTGAAAGCTCTGTAATATCGAGCTACTTCATTAAATAGGCCTTGTGTACTTCTTTCTGACCTATTGCATATTATGTATACTGAAAGTTGTGTAATATCGAGCTATTTAATGAAATGGTCTTATGTACTTTTTTCATCTTCTTGTTAAGTTGGAATCACTTTCAATGGCATGTGCAAAATGGTTTTTTTTGGCATGGGTAGATTTCAAAGGGCATGCCTCAAATCCTTACTATGACAAATCTGAAGGAAGTGTGTTTTTTACCCTTCCTTGGATCAATTCATCAGATCCATCAACAGATTTAGTTTTAGCTTTTTAGTTTTTCTGGTTTATTGAATGAGTTTTGTAAATATATGCATATGAGTATGTATATTGTCTGCTCATTATTAAGTTTTGGAGTTGTAGGTCTGTCTGTTTCTATAATTACAGGGCTCGATTTCAGAGATGTTAACTTACTTGCACTGGGTGCAACCTAAGATAAAAACCTACTTGCACCAGCCCAATTCCTGTTACACTGCTTTTATTGGAATATGTAATGAAAGAAATATGCTATTGAATTATTTAGATGTTTTATTCAGAGGTTTACCCACTAAAAAATTGACTTCCACCTGGTGCAAGTTAGACTAATAACAAGGTTGCACTTTGTAATATTAGGTTGCACCAGTGCAAGTAACAAAGCACTAAATCGAGCCCTGAATTACATTTTGGAATGTTACTCCAGTTAAAGACTTTCATTGAAGTTAATAATCTTGGATGGAAATCTACTTAAACCTATACTTGAACTCTTATCCAGAAATTACCGTACCCAATATTTGATAAAGCAATACTGTAACAAAACAAATTCCACAATTTCTGTAGGTCTAC